GCCCCCGGAAATTTAATTCAAAAACAATTTTTTTTTATTTCTTCTTGAAAATATTCATATTTTTATATCAATATAACTATATGTTTATTTTTTATTCACAATACTACATTGACATGATTAAATGATTAAATATATTGTTTGGTGATACGAAAATTATAAAATATTTCATTAATAAAACTTAAAGCAAGAAAATCTAATGAATAAAAGAAATTGCCTTCAATTATGTTAAAAAAATCTTAATACAATTCAAATCTGTGTAAAATTAAGGAGGTTTAACACTTTATATGTTAAAAAGTCGAAAAAATATAACACAATATACAAAGTTATAACACAACAAGTGTAGAGCCATTACGCTTATGTATATACCGGCGTTGGGAAGATGATTTACCCATATTTAAGTTATATTTTCTTATATGATTGGTAGTTGCATGTCAACATGATTAGCTTGCATGTTGACATAATTATGTTGCATGTCTACATAATTATCTTGCATGTTAACATAATTTATTTTGAATGGGGGGGGATATGCCACCATACATTTTGTTTCTACAGAGTCTTAAAATATTGTTACAATGTTAATTTTAATGGATATACATTAAGGAAATGTAAAGAACGAGGAAAATTAAAATCCACAATCTAAGCATATATGCAAATTTTTGTTTAATAGTTTTATAATAAGTTTTATAAGCGTTACATGCTTATCAAAAAGAGCATATGAAGATATTGCATATTCTTATCATGATATGTTTATCGTTGTGATGGGGTTCGGTATTCCCCGTAGTTTGTTGTTAGTAAATAAACGATATATCTACGTCATTTAAAAGGAATTTCAAATATCATCAATATCGAAATCTCTATTGATTTTGCTGTGGAAAGTGTGGTTGGGTTTTCTTATCGAACAATTTGCAGAATTTATACAACGAGTTACGATGGGTTCTAAATAATTCAATGGAATCTGACAAATTATTATTTAATTTTCTGCATCTTCGTTTTTTATACCTTTCCTTTCTTCCTGGGGTAAATTTTGGAAAGAAAATATAAGAATGTATTTTAAAAAGTATTTGTTATCGATTTTTTTTTTCATTTACCATGTTTCCAATGTACTTAATGATCAATTTGCGTATAAATTTAAAACACGTGAAAAATATGTTAGTGAAAAAAGTTTTGAATTATTCTGTAGGGTTTTGGTCTAAGGAAAGTAAATCAGGTTAAAAAAGAATTTAGCAGAAAGACCAGCTTTTAATTACTAACCCTCAAGTCTTGTCAAAATGTGAAATTTTACCATTCACTAAAATACATAAACATTGAAACTATTATTTCAGTTTAAAACTTATCTGATTACATATATGGTTTTACCTTGAGATAGCAATTTCGGTATCGTGTCTTGGAATTCATAACCAGATAAAATAAACATATTGATTTTAGAAAATGTAAATGTGGGACGTTTTTGTTCTGAGATGTTGTAACAGTGTAACTGATAATAGAAAGAAATAAATCACCTCACTTGTAGATAGTATAGGGGTAGTGGCATTTTTTTTGTCCCAATATGAAACAGGAAGTAGATAAAATTATTAACTGACCCCTCATTCGTTATGTAAACCATAATTCTTTGTTGAGACTGTAGTGTTTATACTTAAAACAAAGGTATAAAAATGAAAATGATAAAAGAAAAATGATCCTTGCCGCTCATTATAATAAAACATATGCACAGTATTCTATATTTGAGTATTGTCTACTTTTGTGCCAAGTTATATTAAAATTGGATTAAAAATTTAGGAGGAGTAGCATTTTGAAAGCATTTCACAGAAATTTCTTTTTTTTGTAACCAAGGCAACACCGTTCAATAAATCGAAAACCGATACAAAAAATTATGTAAATTGGTGTTGTCTACTTGGCTGTTCCAAATTGTATTGAAATCGGACCAATACTGTAGGAGGAGTAGCATTTTAAAAGAATTTTACATTCTTTTAAGTAACCATGGCATCACATTTTATCGAAATCAAAAAACGATGCACAGAAATATGTATCTAAGTGTACACAAATTGTGTGCCAAGTTAAATTAAACCTGTCCAAAACTGTTGGAGGAGTAGCTTTTTGACAGAATTTCACAACATTTTCTATTTTTAGTAACCATGGTAACACATATACACTAGACTCTGGTGATTCAGTCCCCCCAGGAGCTATTTCTTGGCAAGTTAAAACAGGCCTGGGACCAGAGGATTTTACAAACATTGCCTCTTTTTCTCCCCCTGGATGGGGTGGTTCCAATACCTTTACAGACTTTGCAGTGGATTATAAGAATCGGTCGGAATTGTTCAATGTTACAGCTAATGGAGCTAATTCTTATGTTGTTGTGATGAGAGTAAATGAGGTGGTGTGTTCAGATGAGAATCACTACAGATGTTCTGTTTTATTTATGAACGCTGGTTCCGGTCCTGTAACTAAGACAAAAGAAACATCTCTCACAACTAGAAGTAAGAATTTTAAGTTTTCCTTAAGTTTTCTTATTTAAATATGTTCAAAATGTGTCACAGAAAAGTGTTATATGTATGTAGTTAAATTAAAGTTCTTAATCATGGTGTCCCGATAGGGCCATTGAAAAAGTGTTCTAGCGCGTTAGAAACAACAGGCAAACGCGTTAATGACAATGCGCTAGGAGGTCTTGTAACAAAGACAAAAGAAACATCTCTCACAGCTAGAGATATGTATTTCTATAGGTAGAATACTGATATATTATATATAAATATTGCATTCCTTGAGTGTAACGTTGAAAATTTTCACCCCAAGAAAACCATTGTCAACCGAGGCACAGTCGAGGTTGACAATGGTTTTCAAGGGGTAAAAATTTTCTATGTTACATTCGACTTCATGCAATTTTTATTATATTATACTGAATGTGTTATACAAAAACATAAAACAGCGAACCATGCGCGCATAAATTCTGCGCAGTCGGGTTATTTTTTTTTATACCATCCGTCGTTAGGCAACGTTGACTGTTGCTACGCTGGAGGGCGTGGTTTCATTATTCAGGGGGTAATAATATTTCTTGACAAATGTTTCTCGACCAATCAGATTCAACTAATTCAGATGAAAGTATATTATTATGTAATATGTATGCTTATTATAAAAAAATTCATGTATTGAGTCTTAATTTTACAAACCACTAAAACTTTCTTGGGTGAAAATAAAATTAAATGACAACTGTTAAAACATATCTGTAAATCTTTACAGCACCTGCTGAGCAACCTTATGACATTCCAGTTCCTGTCCCAGACAATATAGAGGAGAACATGGTAGTGACTTTGTCCTGTACAGCCAATGTTGGAAAACCTCCAGGACAATTAAGGTGGTGGCGCTACAGGAATGGTATAACAGCTCCCCAGGAAATGACAGGAGTGTCTACTAGCACGCCACCGGTACAGGAAGGCGTATGCGTGTACAACGTTACCAGCACGATAACATACAGGATGACGAAGGATGATGATCAGTCGGTGTGGAGATGTTTCGTGGAAAATGAACTGTTAACAATGCCAGACCGAGACAAACCTAACCAAGAATCCAAAAGGGTCAATATATTCTGTAAGTTTATCTTTGTGTTCATGTCATGTGTAACTAGCACTGATAGGTCATAAGCAGACATGAACATTTATATACTAATACAATGTGTAAAAGCACATAAAATAATAAAATACTGTATACAAGAAAATTTCGCCTCTGTTTTATTTTCGCCCCTTTCATTATAGACACAAGTGGGCAAATTTACTACAGGATGACAGTATAATTTCTTAACCGGAACTGTTACTGGACGTATTTAAACCGGACAAAAGTAATAGGGTCAAAATAACATGGGGCGAAAATACATGTACTTCTACCCCCTGCATTCAGTAGCTTACATAAAACAAAACGTATGCAACGAAGCGTTTTTCTTATTAATGTAAATTATAATTTACCGTTACAAACATCAAGTTCTTTTGTGTGTTTAAGTTCAGAGTTACTAGAACTAGGTAGTTGCACGGATCACTGGTGTTAACTCTCAGTATTTTTCTATAATTATAGTTAAGGTCAATGTTCCCATCATAAGGAAGCTTCCAGACACTGGTGATGACTCTCAGTATTCTGTTGGCTCCTCTGTTACCTTGACCTGTCAAGCTGATGGTAATCCAACTCCTGGGATCCACACAAATAAGACTGTTAACAGATATCAATGGACGTTCAAAGCCAGTCCCAATGACAATGTTACAGAACTATCATCCATTAATGGAACATTGACTCTGACCAATCTTCAGGAAACTGATAGAGGGACTTATACTTGTACTGCATTCAATGGATTCAATGGAAAATGTTTCAATGCATCTAGAGACCAAATTTTACAAATTGGTAAGGGATTGTTTCATTTACACTGTTATCCTTTGAAATAATGGTTGATGTCCAAAAAGTCTCATGTTCAAAGAGTAACATTATTTTGTCTCATTTGTACTATTGCTATCTTTAAGAATACATTGGGTTTTATCAATTGTTTATAATAAATATTTAAGAGTTTGCATAAAATTTTAGAGCTTTGTTAGAAACTCAAAGATTTAAACTTACGTTGCTTCGAGAAATCACCTGTATCCCGTCAAACCTGGGTTTAATGATTTTTTAATTTATTATCTAAGGACTTCTTTTCGTTTCCATGTGTATAGTGAAAACTACAACTACCACTACCCCACGCACTACGCATATTATCGGTACAATTGGATCTTCTGAAACATTCACAACACAGGAACGAAGCGGTAATATTTTAGTATGCATGCATTTTTACATATAAAAGAATTTATAATTAATTTTAAAAATGCATCATAGTTATCATCGACAATGTTTTAATGAACCACCGAGAGAATTTATCCCTATGAACCTTTCAGCTGTGATTCCTCTTAACTTGCATTGTAACTTTTGCTTAACAATTGATGTAAATCAAAAGAAACAGAAAAATACAAAATTTAAAAAATAAAAAATATATTAAGTTCTTTCGAAGTTTTTGTATAGTTAGACAGATTTAAATAATAGATAAATAATAATACCTTTCTATTATTTCATTTGATATTCGTTCAAGACCAAGTGGGTTCAAGAAAATCTGAGTTGTTAGAGTTTACAGTAGTGCTTTTGAAAAACGGTTTTGTTTTGCACAGTCTTATGTTTCTCTTGCAACAACCTTTATTGATCAATTAACTATGATTTATTCTATACCATCCTTTGCCATGATTACATACTTTACAAATTCTTAAGAGGTACAACAAACAAACAAACAATGATTTATAGTTCTGTATTATACTCAAATGCATACCAAGATACTTGTACTTCTTGTAATTTTGTATGAAGTAAGCAAGTTAAATTTTTTTGAACGTTTTATAATCGCACTAATTTTTTGAGTATATATATTTATTTCATTAATTTTTTTGGAGGGGGGTGGTGGTATTCTATTGTCGTATTCTACGTGTCTAGAGTCCGAAAAATTTACTAAAATTTTTATATAATTTAAAATTTAAAAAATGAAAATACAAATGCTTTCTACGATAAAACACGGTTATTATAGTTATTTAACGTATTGATAGTACTTTTGTCTACGTAAAATGATTTCTGGAATACAATAGAGCAATTTTTAATAGACCATTGCATATTAAGATTTTTATACCCTATCGCAATAGAATTGGAGGGGATATAGTTACGCAATCCTTGCGTTTTACGTAACGTATAAGTGACGTAATTGGCATTGAGTTTGATATCAAATGCTGTCTTGTCGTGTTTGAGATCTTATAACTCAAGTCCGCAAACATTACATCGCTATCTAAATATATTATTCATAAAGATATCTTGGATTTTTAGCTTTAATATTGAATTTGAACCTTTTTTTCAAATTTCATATTTACTGGTTGAAATTTTTACAAAATCTTGTAAAGTTATTATATCATTCATGATTGGTATTTTCTGTTTAGGATTCCATACACCACAATCACAATTAGATATTATCGCTGGCGGGACAATTGGAGGAGTTGTTTTAGTTGTACTTGTTGCCCTCTTTATCTTCAATAGAAGATACCAAATTTTATGTATTGGTAAGTATTTAGTTAAAGTTATGAGTAATTATGATTTTTTTTAATTCTTTTAAATCAGTCAATCATTTTAGAATAATGCTTGGAAAATATTACTTTCAGAAAGAAAACAAAATTCAAGGTGAGAACGTTAACATAACATGGAATATTCAGTCAAAACTGTTTTTACTACTATACACTATAGATTCCAGACAAGGAGAAATAAATTTTAATTTCGAACTAGGTTTTAAGCTCAAGTATTAGTAATGGTCCCTTTTAAAGGATGCTAAATGTTTATATGAATCTCAAAATACAAGTTTGACACCTGAGGCCAATTCTACGAACTTCATAATAATGTCTTGATCTATCAAAAATTTGATTTTGCAAATAATTTCAATATAAGTTACAAGATATCAAACATAATCAGGTGTATTTTCCTTGCTTTGAATAAGATATTTTAATGATCTATTAACGAAAGAAATAAACCTACTTTTCTAAAAGATAAATAGGAAAATTTAATAGATAAAACACGTGAAAAAATTAAACTAATAAACACAGTCTTTTAAAAAAAAATTTATATGTAAATCGTAATCCTTTTTACTATTCATAAAATCAAATGCAACTAAAGGAGACCTCGGATCCATTACTTTTTAGGAATTGAGGCCTACTCCTTCTTATACATAAACCTTTACGCCAAAGCATAAAACTGAGAACACGGAATTAAGTGATTGAATAGCATTTGCAATCCAAATGACAAGATAAGGCATTGTAAAATAAAGGTTTTCAGTAAAACAATTTCATATTAATCATAATATGGCATTCATTTGTTTGTATTCTTCATAAATTTAATTTTAATGTGATCGATTATATTTATTTCACAGTAACAGAAAAATGGAAGAGTTAAACACTATCTCTGACACACAAAGTAAGAATTAAATCACTTTAAATTATTTTTTTTTATTTTTTAAATTTTGAAAAAATTGTTTAATGAAAGTTTTCTGATTTTATAGGGCTTGAAACAGAGAGGAGGTAACGTATGCTTTATCATCAGAAAAAAATAAAGTAATACTTGTAAACAAAGTCTCAAAAGCACTGTGAATAGAAGGTTGACATCAATATGCATTGTGATATTTAAGAAACTATTACAAAAAGTATATTCAAAACAACCAAGAAACTATTCACAGAGGATGGCAATAATAGGATTAGAGGTACATGTAAACACGTAGTTAAAGTGGTAATTTTGAAGTCAAAAGCTGAAATGTCAGAATGAGCTAGACCTATATTTTTTCTGAAGAAAAGGACACAATATTTTTAAATAAGCTTATTCAAACCCACTGGCAGATCAAGTTAAATTTCTGTTTTTGAAAACATTTTCATTGTCAATGTAACGAGCCGTCACAGTTTTACTAAATAACACTATAGAATGATTATAAAATCACATCGAAACAAATAATTCTTGTGCTACGATTGTATGCATGCATCTCCTTGTTTTTTACCTTGTAAAATATGATTTTATCATTTAACGAAAGGTTATTAATTGACACGTAAATGATGACTATTCATAAACGTTATATAATTTTATTCATTAAGAGCTCAATATGAAGAGCTGACACAGATTCGTCGGGATCAGGAAAACGGATATGACGTTATTAGACCGTCAAATAGTAAGGAAATTCTGTAAAACATATAAATATATCGAGAAAATATTTTCTTTTTCAAAAGACACATTGACATTCTATTTACAAGTATCTATAATCATGAAATTTAATCTATTTTACGCCTCTCTTCTTTCTTCAGATAATGGATCAAACGGGTAAGAATTTTTTGAAAAAAATATGTTTGGTGATGATTTGGAATAAAACATAAACGAAAATGAAATTGAAATGGCAACCTTTAAAATGCAGTTATTTTATCTGGATTATTCAGTACAACATATGAAGAACTGAAAGACAGGAAAGAAGAACACGGATATGAAAAACTTTCAGACCCTACAAGTATGTTTAATTTTTAACGTATCAAACAAGGATAAAGAAATAAACTACATTACCGTTACAAAGTCATGAATCTGCATGGATTTGGACTCAAAAAGAGTTTACAAGAGGCCTGTTCAGCAGGTCTAAGGTTCGCGAGCGCTCGCCAAAATTCCTTATACCTCCAATAGAAATTCTGCGAGCGCTCGCGAACGTTCGCTCTGCTGAACAGGCCTCTGATTTAAGGAACAAGTGTAAATCATACCAATTTTCAATTTCTTTGTATTTTGATCGACATGCATTTCTGCATTTCTTCATTCATTTCTGGTTCTCCTCTCTTTGAAAGGTAAAGTTAAGCTTTTTTCCTCCTGAAATTGTTGAGAGTGTTCAGAACTTTGACGCCATTTTTGTTTTGTTTCTCCGTGAAAGCATAAAATATTATGCTTTATTCATATTAGTGTAATTTTGGAGGTAAATCTCGATATAGATCTTCTTAAAGACTTAAAAATAATGACGTTTCATCCATTTTTATTTTTAAAAAAGGAAATGATAATTTATTTTTAAATCAATTGAATAATTATCTGATATGGAAACTGCTTCTTTTTTCTTCAGCTAAAAGATACTTTTGTATAGAAGCTAAAATTTATTAATCATAATTATGGAGTTTATAAATAATTCAAACATTACATATTTTAAACAAGATACGGAATATTGATTTGGATAAAAAATCCGTATAAGTCGACAATGTACAAAGTTCTCATATATTTTAAGAAACTAAACATGAAAACATTCTTGGTTAAATACTTTACAAATTAAGGCTTCAATTGTTTTCTCGGGACCATCAATAATGAACAAAATACATAATTTATGGATTCTCAGAAAAAGATTGTATTTCACTGAAGATTAATTAAAACAATGAAATGAATCTTTGCATTTTATAAAATAGAACTATAAGACAGTCTTTTCTCCTTCTGAGATGTCACTGCATATATCTGTTTTTATTTTCAAAAAGGCGCCATACCTAAAGCATATCACAAAGCTCAAAAGAATAGCATTAATTTTGTGTTGTTCTACCTTCCACAGCTATGGCAAACTACGAAAAACTACAAAATAAGACTGGTCACGTAAAACAAACTTTTGAACCATCAAGAACACAAAGTAATAGACAACCTCAGCATTTTGGACAAGATTACCTTACACCAATTGGATACAGAAGATAAAAGCCAGTTATCAGTTAACTTGCTGTGTGCAGACGCTTTACTATAGCGACTTCTCCATCAGAAAGCACCACCAAATATTCTATTGATATCTATTCCTCAGTCAAGAAGGATAACTCTTCAATTTCTTATTTATTTCAAAAAGTTTCAAAATAAAACTTTAAATAAAATCTATTCATGCAGCAATTTTCATTTAATGAATCTCAATGTGTCTCAAGGTTCTTTGAAGTTTTAGAATCAGTCTTGGAAAAACTTGACATTTGTACCCCATAGACGTGTTTAAGAAATTACACATTGAAAGAAATCACATTTCCTTTTATCTAGCTTAAAATATTAAAGATTATTGGCGCGTTATGAACTTCGAAGTGATTAGTGGACTTTCGTATCTTACCATATATGTAAGTATGTTTGTTTAGAATGTACAGTTTATGTTACCGCAAGTTTCGTTTCTTACCATACATGTAAGTATGGTTGTTTATAATGTACAGTATATGTTACCGCAGGTCTGTTTTGAATAATATAGAAAGTATGAAAGTCATGTCGTGTATATTAGGGTAAGTTTCGTATTTTATAGTAAATATGGTTGTTTATAACATATATAACGCTTATGATTGTATGTATGTTAGTATGATTGACTGTTGTAAATTTTATACTATGAACATGAACGTCTGCTGTGTGTTACCATCAATTATATCTTACTGTATGTAAGAACGATGTTGTAAATGATATGACAGAATCTGCTGTATATGTTATCTTAAGCACGAACCTCTGCTGTGTTGTCACCTTGAGAATGTATATACGGTATCGAAGGTATGAAAGGTCGGCTGCATAGAAGACAAATAATTATGTCATTAAACACTAGAAAACGTTTAAAATAAAAATTCGTATTAAATTTTTATTTTTTCCGTTGAATTATTCATATAGCTAATTTTTTGTTCAATGTTTTACTGACCTAATTTTGAAACAAAAATAGGTCATTCTATAAATATTGTTTGGCTAGTAATTGAAGTACGTTTAATGAATTATTTTCATTTGGGTCATCAACATCCTTGAAATTGCTATACAAAGTGCTTTTACTCGTTGATTAAGATGTCACATTCAATTTACACATTTTACAAAAAAAAAACAAAAATACGCAGGAATATTATGACCTGAAGGCAAACGTAAGAGACAGGTGCCGCCACCAATGGTGACCTACGGACAACAACAGCAGACAGGACAACAAACTTACAGACCTCCTCCAAGTTACGGACAACAACAGCAATACGGACAAGGTTACGGACAACCAAAAGGCTATGGTTCACCTGTTGAATTTTCTCAGGGTTCCACAGAAAAAAGTCAAACAAAGTAAATAAGACTTTGAGAAAACAATAACTTTTCGAAGTTGATATCCAAGAGATACTTGAGTTTTTGATTGACAATATCTATGTGGTTTTTGGAGACCGGGTACTCCAACAATCTATTGGAATACCCATGGGTACCAATGGGGCTCCGTTATTAGCACACCTATTTTTATATTCATATGAAGCAGAATTTATTTGTGTAAAATCTTATGCGTGAAAAGAAGAAAAAACACTTGCTGTGGCCTTCAACTCGACATTTAGACATAACGACGACGTATTGTCAATTAGCAATGGTAATTTCCATTCCTACATCAATATGATGTATCCTGGTGAGCTTGAGATAAAAGATACCACTGATTCTGACTCATCTGCTTCATACTTGGATATTGTACTTGGAAAAAGACGTTAATGGTAATCTAACAACCAAGCTATTTGATAAACGCGATGACCTGCATACGGAGTATATATATCTCAGTTGATTCGATACGCAAGAGCATGCTCTACGTATAAACAATTTTTAAAACGAGGTCGATTATTGACAAGCAAGTTGATGAAACAAGAATATCAGCAGTCTCGTTGAAAGTCATCATTTCGTAACTTCTATGGTCGATACAATGACCTCGTCAGCGAAAACAATTTATAATTGATTCAAATGCTGACTGACGTTTTTGATACATACGAGGGTTGTCCCAAAAAGTTGTAAACATAGTTTATTTTTTCTTTGCTAAATCAAATTTCTTTTCTCGTAATAGCAAAAAGTAACATTTTATGATCATGCATGCCAAGTTTCATGACGATACCACATTTAATACTTAAACTATGACAAAATTAAAAAACCATGTAAGTGTACATCGGCGCACGAAAGCAAGCGTAATTTACGTCTCTCATTACGTAATGATACCTTTTTTCTCTTCACATGAGGCTATTAACGGTCTTCATATAAATCGTCCCAATATAATTAATTTGAAAGATATATATTTGAAAATTCACAATTATAAAGAAAATTGATTGTATTATGTCCAAATTTGGTTTGAATTGATTGCGTGTTGAAAAAGTTACTGACATTGTCTACGACTTTTTTGGACAACCCTCGTATGTACCAATTGTTAGTCCATTATTTATACACTGAATTGACGACGGATTTTCCCGTTATTTCCCGATCATGATAAGGAGTAAACGGCGAGTGTGACCGGTTAGCAGGGGATGCTCACTCCCCCATGGCACCTGATCCCAACTCTGATGTTATGGAGGTCCTTGTTTGCTCTGCTTCTATTTTGTATTGTTTTATGGACTTTGAGATTGAATATTGTTCGTTATATCCATATATCCTTCTATCAGCCAATCAACTTCATTATCAGTGAAGCAAGCTAGAAATAGAAGTGACAGTGTTCATGGACTAGATAATCCATTCGAAGTACATGCATACTCAACTGAAGAAACACATGCAGCAAGTCCTATGGAACTTTTTCTGAAACACCTTTCATGACATTTTAAGTTAAACAAAATTGTACAATTAACACAATTTTTGATAAAAGTATTGCAGGATTATTTTCAAGAATAAAGAAATGCAGGTATATGAAGGGCCAGATCTATTAAATTTCAGCACTCGAAACTTAATTGCAAATGGTAAAATGTTTCTTACATTTAATTTTTAATCATTTAAAGTGGGCAATTTTCACCTCAATGGGCGCGATTGTAGTTTAAGGACGAGAAAAGAATTTAAATGATATGTCATGTACATGTAACTTGTAACAATGAAACAGCTATCTCGACAGATTGAATAAGTAACCTCTTTAAAATTAAAAAAATAACTCTGGATAACTCGATCGTTAAAACGAGATAATCATCTTTTTATGTAGTTAAGGAAATACATGTAACTTACTTGCTTAAATAAAGTAATTAACTTGTTATAACGAGATTCAAGTGTACCTACTTCATATAAAACTTTAAAAAATTTCTTTTTTACCTTATTAGAAATTTAAGAAGCCTTTTCCAGCTTTTGTATATAGCTGCCGTAATATTAACACAATCATAAATCTTTTAAATGTAGCCAGGCCTATATCTTGATGAATAAAATTCAATACTGTAAGGTTGAATTCTAAGAAAATTACTTATAGAAGGATAAGGTCTGTTCTCATGATCAGCATTGCATGGATGCATTTTTTTCTTGTCATAGGCACTATTGCAGGAACAGTTTCCACTGCAGCCTCTTTCACAGCCACTATTGGAAACTCTATTAACTTCACATCTACATATACACTAGACTCTGGTGATACGGTCCCTCCAGGAGCTATTTCGTGGCAAGTTAAAACAGGCTCAGGACCTGAAGGATTTTACAAACATAGCCTTTTTTCTCCTCCTGGTTCTAGTGGTTCCAATCCTTTACACAGTTTTCCACAGATTATAAGAATCGTTCTGAATTATTCAATGTTACAGCTAATGGAGCTAATTCTTATGTTGTTATGATGAGAGTAAACGAGGTGGTGTGTTCAGATGAGAAACACTATAGGTGCTCTGTTTTATTTATCAGTACTACATTAGGTCCCATAACTAAGACACAAGAAACATCTCTCACAGCTAGAGGTAAGAATTTTTTTTGTACAATTATAATATTGGAACTTTGGTTAAGTTAATTCGGTTAATTCTAAAATATAAATAAAAATATTTGCATATTAAAATCATGTTATTGATATTTATATATTATGTTCCCCAAACGAAGTTGGGGAACATATTGTTTTTACTCTGTTTCTTATTATTAATATTATCATTTTTCTTCTTGGGAAATCTTTTCCGCTGATCTTGTAAACTACGCATCTGACTAAGGTGAAACCTTTTTAGGGTCAGTAGGCATGTTATGTAGAGTTGCCGAACAAAGGTCATTTTGCGCGCACGTGCTTGCAAGAGCGTGCACGTGCAACACGTTAAATGACCAATATAATAGATATAGCCCTAATTTTTCTATTTTTTTATTAATGACTAAATGAAACATTCATTACTACGAGTGTGGGATAGTGAAATTCCACCGAGGGGCTAAGATTTACAGTCTAGGACGAGGCTTTTCCGAGTCCTAGAACAGAATCTTGGCTCCAAGGAGAAATTTCACTATTCCCACCCGAGTATTTGAATTTTTCTTTTTATCGCATTACTGTAAACCAACTTTTATTCACGACGACTTTATTTAGCGATTTACATGGAGTAAAGTAGTTCGCGACGATTAATTCTAGCGATCAAGCCTTTTTTGAACTGTTTTTAATAGAAAAAGACTTTAAGGACCCGTTCGCGGCGAGAATTATTCGCGATGACGAGGCTCTTACGAACCTTGCAAAAATTTCTCGCGAATAAAAGTTGGTTTACAGTATTTTGTTCAAAAACCTCTCAACGATGTCACCATAAAACTAAAAATATAATCTTTTAATTTTTAAATCTAATTAAGAATCTGAATACACTTTCGGAAAAAAAAGCGTACCTGAAAATGGTTCACACGTAGTGTAAACTAATAAAATTGAATTTCTGTTCATATAGATAAATTAGAAAGATAAAAACTGGGAATAAAAACTTATCTATCCGATAGAGCACAGATTCATTTTAGAAGAATCTTCCCGCAGTCTAAAAATAGTGCCATTTAAAAAGTGAAAATACACCAATATTTTGAATGAAAATAAGTTAATTTAAATAAGTTAAATGACTTTCTAAGCATATGTGGTGTTTGTTAACATTGTTACAATTTTTTTTTATATATAAGACGAAATGTTTACGTTATCGTTCGCGGCGTAGTTATATACACATTGTGAGACAGAAAAATCTCACACTGCTGTCTCACACCGGACAAGTGTGTGCAATCTAACACTGGTGATTATGCACAGAAAACGTTGTCATTAACGCACTTGCCCGTTGTTTCTAAAGTGCTAATACACTTTTGCAATGGCCCTATTGGGACACCATACATAATGCAAAGAGAGTTAAATGTTTAAGTATGAATAGAGAAGAAATGAAATGCGTCTGGTATATATATGACAGTGCAACATGAATAATAGTTTAAGAATTCACAAGTGATAAGTAGTTCAAATGTGTGCATAGAGTGCTTTTAAATTGCATAGTAGATTAAGATATAATTTATTTAAGAAATACGATATCATTTTTAGAGTTTCATTGGGTATGACACTAAGTCGGTCACGTGATCAAAATCTATAACCGGCTTCATGTCATACCCCAGTGAAACTTTAAAATATGATTTTATTTAGTTTATTCCTTATGTTTATATTTTACGTTTTTATTCATGTTATAAAGAAATATAGGCATTATTTAGATTTTGATTTTGAAATGCAAAGTAACGTATCTACGACGTTATGTGACGTCACAGTCGGAACTTTCCAAATTGCTTGTGCAGTTTGCTTTCCATATGCAAGAAAGTCTTATCGTGTGACCAACTGCATGTCATTGAAAATTAAATTTCAATTTCATTATCATTGTTATATAAGGAAAGATTTCAGCAAATGTAAATATACAGTTATTAAGTTAACTTCTATACATTGTAACTCTTATATTTTTAAGTCTCTGTGGAAATTATTCATGAATTCCTTAAGTATGTGTTATTATTTACAGTTAAAGTCAATGTTCCAACAATAAGGAAGTTACCAGACACTGGCGTAGACTCCCAATATTCTGTTGGTTCCTCTGTGACCATGACCTGTCAAGCTGAAGGTAACCCAACCCCAGGAATCCACACAAATAAGACCGTTAACAGGTACCAGTGGACGTTCAAGGCCAGCCCCAATGACAACACCACAGAGTTATCCTCGGTGAACGGGACCCTGACTCTGACCAATCTCCAGGAGACTGACACTGGAACGTACACCTGTACTGCTTTCAATGGATTCAATGGGAAATTCTTCAATGCATCTAATAGCGTAAAGTTACACATTGGTAAGTGTTTGAAAGAAAGGGTAATCTTTTATTTTTGAACTTTTTTTGTGTTACATATATC